AAATTTAATTTTAATTTTATAAAAAAATATTTATTATTTTGTTTTTGCTTGAAAAAATTATTTAAGTTCCTTATTTTCAAAATTAATTAAACACTCATGTTGGGAGTGAAACCGGTTTAGATTTGAATTATAGAAAGTTTGTAAATTTTTTATTTAAAAAAATTGTAATTAAGTGAGCTAGTGAGCCAACCCATTTACCCCCAACCCGTGGCGGGTCGGACCGGGTTCGAAATTTTCTGGCTCGCTAATAAATGAGCCGGGTTGGGTTGGCTCACTAAGTGACCAACCCGTGGTGGACTAAACCGGGTCGAGTCAGGTGACCCATTTTGACCGCTCTAAAATATATTAACTAATTATTTTGATTTCTAAAATTGGTTGTAGGTGATAATTTTCTTGCAATGGGTGATTCATGTAAGGAAAAAATATAATGGAAGGAGTAATTCTTTTTAATCAATTGAGGTGTTATTTTAGTAGTTTCCTTTAATTTATAGCAATAATGAAATTAAATGATATTGATTCCTTTAATTAATGTTAAAATTAATTATCTAGCTCATATTGTTTAGTGCATGTGTTAATTAAACCTTTTTATTTATGAATATCTGGCTGGGCAGCAATGATGCATGCATAGACTAAGGATATAAACAAAGTCTATTAATTAGTGAGGACTTATCTTTTGAGCAAAGAAGGTAAAATAAATACCTAAACCAAACAAATACTTGAGGCACAAGCCAACCAAACGTTTACATTGGTACAACACAAGACAAGGTGGCAGTGGTGACTGGTGGGTGAAGCAGAAGCACACCACATGAAACGCCAAACCAAATTCTACACCGCCCTTTAATTCTTTTCAGAACCCCACCCTTAATACTCTGCGCAGCTTCGTTTCTTTTCTGTCACCCTTTTTCGATTAAACCCTTGCCCTCTTCTCCAAGCAATCACACCCTCTTCTTTCTGCTCCTCTACGTGAAGCCTGGACACCCCTTTTCGCCTCTTCACTCTTTCCCACCCAAAGTCTCTACCTTTATCAGTTTACCCGTCTTATAGCCTCCGTACAATGTACCCCGTGTCCCTTCTTTCGTCTAATTCCTCAATTTGAGTCACTGGGTTGTTCTTAGTTTTTGCTGATGGCTGAGGATGTTTGACTTGTGTTTCTCACTTGTTTGATTCTTTAGTCCTTTTTTCCCCTTTAATCCTTCACTTTTTCTACCTCATAGACCTGGCTTGCTACGCCTTCTTATTATTCTCTCTGGGTGTCGGAGGGTTTATTAAATTTAAGCAGATTGCCTGAAGGTGTTTCTGTGGTTCAATTTATGACTAATCGGATTAGACACTAGGTTAGTGGTTACAGAGAGCAGGGAATTCTTGTAATATAATATGATTTTTTGTTTTATTCTGTCTTTGATTCAGAAATATTCATTTTGTTGGCCCTTTTTTAATGAAGCTAATTGCTTCCGGTGAGAAGAACTTGAGACTGAAATCGAACTCTTCATTTTTTGAGGGCACGAGGGGTTAAATGCAGACATTGAGGGGTATTGCTTTTTATTGAAGTTTCCTCATCGTCACCCAGCGTACAGTGAGTTTTGTACATTTGTACATTGATAAAGAGTGAACAGGTTCTTGTTGCAGTCTGCAGAACATCATCACTTTTGATCATTTGCAATTTGGGAATTTGAAGAAAGACCTCAGTTTGTGAGAAGTTAGTTATTTTAGCATCGATGATATTAACCAAGTGCTAATAAGAAGTATTGGATTGGTCATTAGGAAAAAGTGAAAGGAATTGCGCTGATAATTTACACATTTAACGTGAAGCACAAATTAATTCGATCCTGGAAAAGGATTGGTGTAATTGATATGAAGAATGGAAGGAGGTGATCATACATTGGCACCGCAATGGTTGAAAAGCAGTGGAAATGACAGTAAAGTGACTGGTACAAACAACCAATTCACAACACCATACTCTGGTAATTGTTTATGCTTAGTGCTGAATACCCCATAATACTTAATAGCATGCTCTTATGTTTAAAAATAAAATTAGGAAAAGTAAGGAAGAAAAAATTGAGATTCAATTGTTCTTTTCTATACGTTAGTTGAAAACAAAAGAAATGGTATGGGGCAGGAAGCAGCTTTAAGTTTGATCCATGATTGTAGCCAATTTTCCATCCATTCCCATGCCCATTCTGGAAAGAAAGGGAAATTCTCTTGAATCTTTTAATGCTTGACAGGGAAATTCTCTGCATTGGAAAGCAAATTTTATTGGTCTTTTATTTTCTTCAACAAATTTTCCTATTAGGAACATTTATTCTTTTTCACCGACACATACCAGAGTTGTTATTTCGAAGTTAGGAGCGTTTTATGCCAAATGTGAAATCTTGTACTTTGGTTCATCATGTATGATATTTAGTCCCAAAATTTTGTGCTTGAGAAGATACTGTCATCCGTGATACTGCATAACTGAAATGGTTAGAATTTTTATGGTTTTTGAAAATATGAGATATAGAAATTTATAGAGAAACTTGTTTTATTTTATTTATCTACTCTGTATATAGAGCATAATGTGTTAAAATATCAAATATTTATCATAGATTTTCTAAATCTAAATAATAACTGAATATTTTCCTATCTTTATAGGAAATATATTTCTAAAAATAATTTAAATAAAAAAAGATATTAAGTAAATATTCTCAATAGAAGTAAACATCTATGAACAGTTTTGATAGTGTCAAATATCCTTCTTATGTCAGATCAAATGACTTACACCAGTCGGAATCCTAGCTTCTCAAGGCCACATAGTAGTTATGAGAGAAGCTGGCCTGGTATGGATGGGGAGAAAGATATTGACAATGACGGCCTGACCTCAGCATCACATGATATTCCTATGACAGTTGGAATCAGAAGCAAGGCTATGATGATGCAGCAGTATAATATTTCTTCAAGCACATCTTCTATGGGCCTCAGTATGGCTGAGACATTGGCTCAGAGTCCACATCACTCTTACTCACCATCACAAGTATGTTTGATGTTGAACTCTATTTTAAGTTTTGCAATTGTTGAAATGTGTTTAGTGCTCTTATGGTATATTTTCCATACAGTTATCTTCTAGTACTCAAAAGCTTGAAGAGTTGGCCCTTAAGCAATCTAGGTTATTAATCCCAGTTACACCATCCACACCTAGATCCCTGGTAAGTGTTTCTTCTGCTTCTTTTTTCTTAAAATAATATAGTTATCAAAGCATTAATTTTAAATATATTGACTTTTTTCATAGAACAATTTATGGGTTTTATGCACAATAGAAAACTTCATGGTACTGTTATATGTTGGATTGTGATTGATGTTCCACCTGAAAATCTGCTAAACCAGAAACATTTTACATGTAAAATATATTTTCTTCCAACTTTAGTGATCTATGTTCTAATCAATGAACTATTTTGGAAGTGTTGAAGTCATAAGCATCTGTTTGTGGTATATACTTTTGATTGATTTTAGTTATGATTTATTTAACTCAATATATTGCCATATGCCTTACTAGAAATAATTATTAGTCATATTATTCAAGTTTGGATAGATGATATCATTCTCCTCCTTGCTGTCTATGAGGAGGTATACTACACCTGACTCATTCGGCTTTGTACTATTATGGAATTGACAGTTGTAGTCTACATGGCATAAAATCCTTTTTTCTTTTATTGTTCGTTCCTTTCGATGCACAAAATGTGAAAACTCATGAAAATAGGTAAAAACTATATTAAGGCTGCCATGCATTTCTTCACCCCTTCCAACCTTTACCTTATTCTTAGTAAGAAAGAAAAATATCAGTGACCCAACTATGATGGGATAATACACCAAAGACATTTGTTTACTGATGCTGGAGGTTAAAAGATATGGTGGACCAATCGGATTGTAGTTGCACTAAAGTTCTGTCTACTATGATGTATTTGCTTGCTTATTTTCATTTAATTGCTAAGAAGAGTTGTCTTTGAAGAATAACCAATAAAGCTTAACCATGAAAAGCTCAGAAGTACCTTCTGGATCAATTCTGTGTAATATCACGTTTTTCTTTAGGTATTAATTAGAGTTTGAACTACTGCAATGCAATAAAGGAAAAACACAGTCCGTGGTCTAATCCCTAAACTCTAAACTTAGTTATTTTCTTGTTAACATTGGTTATAAAGGCATATCTTTTGTTTCACTTCTGAAACATTTAAGATTTTTATATTTTCTGATTTGGATTGTATCATTTTTTCCAAAATAATATTGGTTTTTTGTACATGACCAATCTATAGCCGTTGAATCCTCTTATAGTATGCTTGATTGAGGACCCTCACCTTTGCTAAAGAACTTCTTATCTCTGTATTATCTAATCTCTGCTATGCTTGGTGCATTGATGCTCATTTCTTAGAAGTAAAAAGTAATAACTTGGAGTCTTGTACCTAAAAAATAAAACCATTGTGCGGTTCAAACTTTCTTGGACTGAATTTGTGGCTTGCTTTGCAATTTAAGTTCAATAACTGTGAGGAAATTTAGCATCACTAACTAGCAGTTAACGATTGTTGGAAGTTTTTGATGTATTACTAACTTTGGAATATGAATATGGTGAAGGCTGCTAGCTCTTTGGAGAAATCAAAGGCCAAGACAGGGCGGCAGCAGTATCCCTTCTACTCACGGCGACTTGGTTATTCATTACAGGGTGCTCATCCAAACTCAGATATACAGAAAACTAGTTCTGTTAATTCCCATAATTTCAGTGCTTCAAGAGAGTTGAATGGTGTCTCTTCAGTAGTGAAAGACAACTTATTAAGTCCAAATAGTAGATCATTGGCCGCCCCAGTTGGTGCCACTAGATCCACTTCTATACCTGCTCCCTCTAGAAGCTTAGGTAACAACAATTCAACCCCTTCTTCATGGATAACATTGGAGAAGAAACCAACTTTTCCTACCCAGAGCAGGAATGATTTCTTCAAGAATCTTTCAAGGAAGAGTTCCATGGAAAAACCTTCTTCTGACGTGTTGCCAATTGACATGTCTTGTTCCTCGGAGAAGTCTGAAGCCAGCACAACAAATGTCTCTAGTTCTCCCATTCCGAAATCTAGAGATGCTTCTTCAGTGGATTCCTCTTCTCTGAACATGGTGAGTGACTGCAGCTCCATAATTACAGTGAACGACAATGCTGCCAATGAACCTCTGAAACCTTCAAGCAGTGGAGAGAATCAGCATATCAGAAATCCATTTCCTTTTACAGAAGAGGAAGAGATTGCATTTTTACGTTCACTTGGGTGGCAGGAAAGTGCTGGAGATGATGAAGGCCTCACTGAAGAGGAGATACAAAACTTCTATGAACAGGTTATTCTTCTTCTTGAACTGTTTCATTGCTGTAATTAATTTACAATAGTTTTCTTATGATCTGTGCATTTGTTTCCTCTTGCAGCACATGAAGTTACAGCCATGAACAATTATTCTGCAACATGTGCTTCAATGACAGAATGCACTGCTACTTGATTCAGTTGCTGGAAGATCAGGTGGAACTCCACAAGTAAATTATGTTTACAACTTAGAAGTTTTTCTATTTTTTACTGTTATTTGTTAAAGATACAAACTCTGCTACAGGTTTTAGTAGGCGAATAGAACTAGTAGGACAATAGAAATGCTTCACCATACTTCATTATCATTAGAAATAGAAAAAGGGCAAGAAATTAGTTTATTTTGTTCTTTTCTTTTGAAACCCTAAACTCGATTTTGATCCCGAATTGATTTACGTTAAGGTTGAGATATGCTTACACTTGTACGCATATTCTGTGTTATAAAAGTATAAACTTCAAAAGAAAAGTATTTAAAAACCTACAAGTTATATATTGTATCTATGAATATATGGACACTTCTTGAATTAAATTACTTAATTATATTTCTTTAAATTAGGTAGGGTCTAAGATAAATGAATTTGCATGAAAACATGTGACTCCTTATTTATTATGAGTTACATTATTTATTCAATATTGTTAAAATCTTATTTTTACAGTAATTGTTTAATTATACAGTTACTTTCTTTCTTTCTTTCCATCTCTATTTATTATATAAAGAAATCAACCATTCATCATTAATTATTTTGCAGAAAGAAACCATGTGCATACAGTCAACGCTATCTATATCCATATGAAATTAGTATATTAAAGATCATATTAAAATGATATAAATCCTCAAAATTTTCAATAATTGAATTTTGCATTTTTTTTGTTATATAAAATTTTAAAGAGAAAATTATGTATAACTACAAAAATAGAGAAAACTTCTAATCTTAATTTTTTTAGTATATTTATATTTATCTCACCTCAAATAAATAAGAGTTAGCAATCCAGTTACATAAATTTATAAAAAAATGTTCTATAGCTTTCTTAATCAGTTATTAAAAAACTTTAAGTTATTCACTTCTATATAATAATCTAGCGAGATGATTTTCTGATGACGTTCTTTCTCATTTTGTAGCACATGCCTTTTAAGCTTATCTCAAGTCAAATCAATCATTTCAATCTTTTAATTACTTATTTAATCAAGCAGTTGGAGGTTGAGTTTATATTCAACTTCTTTCAGTATTTTAAACATTATTAATTGGAAATTTAACCGTTTTAAGCAACTTCAATAAATTTGAACGATTTTATTATTCTTTTTAGCTTTTTCATAAAGTAATTTAAATTATGAAGTTTTAACTTTCATGTTTTTATCTTTGAGTGTTGGATGGAATAAAATAATTTAAATTTGATGAACTTACTAATAATATTTTAACTACTGTCAAATATAAAATGTATTGTAATATTAAATAATATTTAAAAACATCTTTTGTTAGATTTATAACTATTTTTTGTAAAAAGTTTCCGACTAACTTTAAAATTATTTTAATTAATATTAATTATAATTATTTTTATGATGTTCTTTTATCAAAATTTTACTGTTTTATTTTTTATTAATATTGATAAAAAAAACTATCCATTAAAGTAAAACATCAAAATTAACCAAAAGTCCATAAGAATTAGTTAAAAATAGATTAAAACAGTAACATCTCAAATTTCATCGAGTCGGATATATCTTTTTGAAAAACGAACATGTACAAATTAATTTTAAGTCAATGTATACTGACCAAGTCAATAAAAAATATTACGGAGAGAAACATGTCTATATAATATAAAAGAAAATATAAAAAAAAAATTCAAATTCTTATATTTTATGTAACATCCACTATATTTATTAATTCATTATTTTTTATCAAATTCAAAATATATGCTAAGTCTAAATAAAGTATTATTAACTTTGTGATACAATTCAAATTCTTTAAACTTATTTAAATTTAATCATATTTAAAATGAAAATATTATGAGTTGATCCTACCTAACACAAAAATTCTTCAAAAACTTAAAAATATATTTTTTAAATTGTGAAATGTATTCTTATTTATGTAGAAAATAATATATTCCACGCGTAATTTATTNACTTTGATGTATTTGCTTGCTTATTTTCATTTAATTGCTAAGAAGAGTTGTCTTTGAAGAATAACCAATAAAGCTTAACCATGAAAAGCTCAGAAGTACCTTCTGGATCAATTCTGTGTAATATCACGTTTTTCTTTAGGTATTAATTAGAGTTTGAACTACTGCAATGCAATAAAGGAAAAACACAGTCCGTGGTCTAATCCCTAAACTCTAAACTTAGTTATTTTCTTGTTAACATTGGTTATAAAGGCATATCTTTTGTTTCACTTCTGAAACATTTAAGATTTTTATATTTTCTGATTTGGATTGTATCATTTTTTCCAAAATAATATTGGTTTTTTGTACATGACCAATCTATAGCCGTTGAATCCTCTTATAGTATGCTTGATTGAGGACCCTCACCTTTGCTAAAGAACTTCTTATCTCTGTATTATCTAATCTCTGCTATGCTTGGTGCATTGATGCTCATTTCTTAGAAGTAAAAAGTAATAACTTGGAGTCTTGTACCTAAAAAATAAAACCATTGTGCGGTTCAAACTTTCTTGGACTGAATTTGTGGCTTGCTTTGCAATTTAAGTTCAATAACTGTGAGGAAATTTAGCATCACTAACTAGCAGTTAACGATTGTTGGAAGTTTTTGATGTATTACTAACTTTGGAATATGAATATGGTGAAGGCTGCTAGCTCTTTGGAGAAATCAAAGGCCAAGACAGGGCGGCAGCAGTATCCCTTCTACTCACGGCGACTTGGTTATTCATTACAGGGTGCTCATCCAAACTCAGATATACAGAAAACTAGTTCTGTTAATTCCCATAATTTCAGTGCTTCAAGAGAGTTGAATGGTGTCTCTTCAGTAGTGAAAGACAACTTATTAAGTCCAAATAGTAGATCATTGGCCGCCCCAGTTGGTGCCACTAGATCCACTTCTATACCTGCTCCCTCTAGAAGCTTAGGTAACAACAATTCAACCCCTTCTTCATGGATAACATTGGAGAAGAAACCAACTTTTCCTACCCAGAGCAGGAATGATTTCTTCAAGAATCTTTCAAGGAAGAGTTCCATGGAAAAACCTTCTTCTGACGTGTTGCCAATTGACATGTCTTGTTCCTCGGAGAAGTCTGAAGCCAGCACAACAAATGTCTCTAGTTCTCCCATTCCGAAATCTAGAGATGCTTCTTCAGTGGATTCCTCTTCTCTGAACATGGTGAGTGACTGCAGCTCCATAATTACAGTGAACGACAATGCTGCCAATGAACCTCTGAAACCTTCAAGCAGTGGAGAGAATCAGCATATCAGAAATCCATTTCCTTTTACAGAAGAGGAAGAGATTGCATTTTTACGTTCACTTGGGTGGCAGGAAAGTGCTGGAGATGATGAAGGCCTCACTGAAGAGGAGATACAAAACTTCTATGAACAGGTTATTATTCTTCTTGAACTGTTTCATTGCTGTAATTAATTTACAATAGTTTTCTTATGATCTGTGCATTTGTTTCCTCTGCAGCACATGAAGTTACAGCCATGAACAATTATTCTGCAACATGTGCTTCAATGACAGAATGCACTGCTACTTGATTCCGTTGCTGGAAGATTAGGTGGAACTCCACAAGTAAATTATGTTTACAACTTAGAAGTTTTTCTATTTTTTACTGTTATTTGTTAAAGATACAAACTCTGCTACAGGTTTTAGTAGGCGAATAGAACTAGTAGGACAATAGAAATGCTTCACCATACTTCATTATCATTAGAAATAGAAAAAGGGCAAGAAATTAGTTTATTTTGTTCTTTTCTTTTGAAACCCTAAACTCATTTTGATCCCGAATTGATTTACGTTAAGGTTGAGATATGCTTACACTTGTACGCATATTCTGTGTTATAAAAGTATAAACTTCAAAAGAAAAGTATTTAAAAACCTACAAGTTATATATTGTATCTATGAATATATGGACACTTCTTGAATTAAATTACTTAATTATATTTCTTTAAATTAGGTAGGGTCTAAGATAAATGAATTTGCATGAAAACATGTGACTCCTTATTTATTATGAGTTACATTATTTATTCAATATTGTTAAAATCTTATTTTTACAGTAATTGTTTAATTATACAGTTACTTTCTTTCTTTCTTTCCATCTCTATTTATTATAAAAAGAAATCAACCATTCATCATTAATTATTTTGCAGAAAGAAACCATGTGCATACAGTCAACGCTATCTATATCCATATGAAATTAGTATATTAAAGATCATATTAAAATGATATAAATCCTCAAAATTTTCAATAATTGAATTTTGCATTTTTTTTGTTATATAAAATTTTAAAGAGAAAATTATGTATAACTACAAAAATAAAGAAAACTTCTAATCTTAATTTTTTTAGTAAATTTATATTTATCTCACCTCAAATAAATAAGAGTTAGCAATCCAGTTACATAAATTTATAAAAAAATGTTCTATAGCTTTCTTAATCAGTTATTAAAAAACTTTAAGTTATTCACTTCTATATAATAATCTAGCGAGATGATTTTCTGATGACGTTCTTTCTCATTTTGTAGCACATGCCTTTTAAGCTTATCTCAAGTCAAATCAATCATTTCAATCTTTTAATTACTTATTTAATCAAGCAGTTGGAGGTTGAGTTTATATTCAACTTCTTTCAGTATTTTAAACATTATTAATTGGAAATTTAACCGTTTTAAGCAACTTCAATAAATTTGAACGATTTTATTATTCTTTTTAGCTTTTTCATAAAGTAATTTAAATTATGAAGTTTTAACTTTCATGTTTTTATCTTTGAGTGTTGGATGGAATAAAATAATTTAAATTTGATGAACTTACTAAAAATATTTTAACTACTGTCAAATATAAAATGTATTGTAATATTAAATAATATTTAAAAACATCTTTTGTTAGATTTATAACTAATTTTTGTAAAAAGTTTCCGACTAACTTTAAAATTATTTTAATTAATATTAATTATAATTATTTTTATGATGTTCTTTTATCAAAATTTTACTGTTTTATTTTTTATTAATATTGATAAAAAAAACTATCCATTAAAGTAAAACATCAAAATTAACCAAAAGTCCATAAGAATTAGTTAAAAATAGATTAAAACAGTAACATCTCAAATTTCATCGAGTCGGATATATCTTTTTGAAAAACGAACATGTACAAATTAATTTTAAGTCAATGTATACTGACCAAGTCAATAAAAAATATTACGGAGAGAAACATGTCTATATAATATAAAAGAAAATATAAAAAAAAAATTCAAATTCTTATATTTTATGTAACATCCACTATATTTATTAATTCATTATTTTTTATCAAATTCAAAATATATGCTAAGTCTAAATAAAGTATTATTAACTTTGTGATACAATTCAAATTCTTTAAACTTATTTAAATTTAATCATATTTAAAATGAAAATATTATGAGTTGATCCTACCTAACACAAAAATTCTTCAAAAACTTAAAAATATATTTTTTAAATTGTGAAATGTATTCTTATTTATGTAGAAAATAATATATTCCACGCGTAATTTATTTACGAGATCATTGCAGTCATTACTAACAATAAAAATAAAAGTAAGTTCAAAATCAAACACAATATATATAACTATTTATAAAAAAGATCATCTTAGACAATATTTTCAATCCACATAATTATTTAATTAATTTATTTATTAATCAATTTTCAAAAATAAAAATTTTAAGTAAAATTTGTATTAAAGTTCCTTCGTACTATTTCTCATGAATAAAATGTTGTACGCAGTCTCCTTAGGTGGAAATTTGAGCAGTAATTAAACCTCCTTGATGCCCTCCTCTTCCTTCGGTCACAGTAAAAATGACAGCTCGGGGCATAAATCGACATTAAATTACTTATTTTTGAGACGACTCAAATAAATATGGTTTCAAAATTGTTTTTAAAGGTTGGTTTTAATCGTTGTTGGTAGCCTTTTTAGCTAACATAGCTCTCTATTCTACTCAGTGTTTAAAGCAATTTTTATATTAAATATCTTTTTTTGGTACTAAAAACACTAAACATATTCCAAAAGTTTTATTGTTGATGGCTTCAAAAGTGATGTGACAAATTCAAATAGGATTTGCATCTTGTTATAAGTTTTGTCTTGAACATTACATCTTCTATCAGATGAATGAATGTCATTTTAAAGGTTTAATGTCTCAGTAGGTCCCTATTTTCGGCGTGAATCTCAAATAGGTCCCTTTTCTTTTCCGCGTCTCAATTGGGTCCCCATTTTTGTAAAATTGTAACAATTAGGGGTCTGCCGTCAAATTGGACAAACGGCCGTTTAATTGTTTCTTACGTGGCATGAACAGTGTTTTCAGTAATGACACGTGGCATGATTCCCATCTGACACGTAAGAAACAATTAAACGGCCGTTTGTCCAATTTGACGGCAGACCCCTAATTGTTACAAGTTTACAAAAATGGGGACCCAATTGAGACGCCGAAAAGAAAAGGGACCTATTTGAGATTCACGCCGAAAATAGGGACCTACCGAGACATTAAACCTCATTTTAAAAGTAGATAGTTTGATATCTTCGTAAAGATCGAGATTGCTTTCATTGATGTTTGATTCTTTATTTTACGAGAACACTTTCATTGATGTTTTTAATATGAATATAATTTATAAATATTAGATTATTCTTAATGATAATATTAAAATAAAAGCGTTTTGATAATTAGTGATGGTGGGTGTGTGATGGGAAAAAAAGTATGGGTTCTGATATTCCGTTCGGCCCATAATAGGTTTTGCAATAAAAACGATAAAAGGAGGAAGTCAAGGTAGTTTGGCAATGTTTAGACTAATTTTAAGAGTCCATGGATGGTCCCAACCACGCATGGAGGCAAAAGAGGCAAAAGAAAGTTGAAAATAACAAAAGTAATTACACAAACTTTAAAATTTTCTCTTCACGACTCACTTTTACCTATTCGTTGAAATTCAGTGTTTATAACTAACATTTACTTATGTTCAAATTCAAATCAAAGCCACCGGTAATTTTACCCCGTAACCTTCATTTTTTTTTCATTATTAATAGCATTGAAAAAAAAAATCTCCCTTTTGTGGCTTTCTTTCACCATGTCAATATCAATATATTTTTCAAACCCCAAATGTTGACTTCCTCTTTCCTGAAACGTTTTCATGGATTTGAAGATGAATTTATATGAGAGTAATTTGAGTAAATTTAGAAAGAAAAAGAAGTGATACATATGTGTTATGTGAGATTTGTATGTCACGTGTGCCATTTTTCCATTTTATTTTTATGTTTTCTTTTCCTTCTCTTTCAAACAGCATAAAATTATTTCAAATAACAATCTGATTTCATGTGATGAATGTGACGTTTTTCATTATAGAAACATGGGAGTAAAAGATAAACACAAGAAAAATATTCAATCTTTGATCTTTTTCACTCCCCATTTTCTTTCTTATATATTTTCATCCTTTCACACTCACTCCCTTCAATTTAATTTTTCCCATCTCTCTCTTTCTCCATGGAGTGTATATTATAGATCCACGTGTAGTCATGAGAAGTATATAAATGTATATAGTTGAATCCATGAGAACAAATCCGACTTTGACAGAAACATGTGTTACGAATAAAATTGAGCATTAAATTTCAAATTCATATGTCAAATAAACCTTTTTTATGCAAGGATGGAGATGGAAAAATCTAAATTCATATAGTCAAGATGGGTGTGGAAATTTTATTTAATGGAAACATAGATCTATATGTTCACAATAGCCTGAAAATTGGGTGGGCAAAGAGGATTATCCTGACCTTCCATTTTTGTTTAATAAATTAAAAATCAACCTCTCTCTCTCTCTCTCTCTCTTTAAAGAAGAAAGAAGTAATATACAATTGAACATCTTTTTGTTAGTTGAGTAATTAATAACAAACAATACAGTGTTTAAAAGTATTTCCTTTTATTTCAATGGTTAAATTATCGACATGGTTTACCAAGTTCAATGTTCTTTTTTCTGGTTTTGGTGTATTATTCATCACGTAACTTATCTTTATGTATCTCGTTAAATTTGACCTTGTTGGACTAATGTATTTGGGTTGGAATACCTTTTCTACTCTCTTAATAATATTTTGTTCACAACTAAGAAAATACGAAACAATATATATATATATATATATATATATATATATATATATATATATATATACACCTTATTCTTTTATATCATTAAATTAAATTCTTTGTAACTTCAGCCTACAATAATATATAATTACTGGTTAAACTCCTTTGGTCGTCCCTATTTATGTGGGTCCCAGTTCAATCCTCGTTTTATTAGAATTTCCAATTGAGTCCTAAAAAGTGTTAATTTAAATCAATTAGGACTCTGCCGTTAAATTGGCTAAACGTGGTTAAGTTTTTTATGACCTGACACCTTGACGTGGTATGTTTTTAGTACGTGGCATTCACAGAGGTTTATACGTGGAATTTCATAACATTAAACATTTTAAAATTAGAGTTTGTTGGTGGAATTTCTGGGTTTTGCTGTGTGCAGGTTTCATGGCGGCGCATGGAGGTGGTTCTTGAGGAAGATAATTTGAACAACGACAAATTGTTATGGCTGCTGACAGTGACGATTTGCGACGAAGAAGTCGCTATTGGAGGTTTATTGTGTTTTGCGATTCTTGCGAGAGAACATAATTTGCTCGTGATTTGACCTCGCCTCTCTGGTCCACGATTAGGGCTAAAAAATGGTAGAGGACGAGATGTTGATGGCGGCCTAAAGGAGATTCTGCGGCGACC